TGGGGAGCGCTTGCTCACCGCAATGGTCAGCGGTAAGCAGAACCACCACATACTATTCGACATCTAACCTTTGTGCCATTTAAAAATGAAGCAGAGGATCATAACGCATTCGATCTACTGTAATTTGAATGATTTAAATCGCATAAGCAGGTTAGGATAACCGCTCTTCCATGAACTGGTTTGCTATCTTTATTGTAGTGATCAAAGCTTTCAAAGGTCACTTTCTCTACAGAATTACTCGGAAACAGGTAAGAGGAAGGGTGAGATTGTCTATAAAGGGTACTCTAAGCAGTTTTGAACTTTCCATCAAAGATTTGGTAGAGTACTAGTTTCTTACAATTCTCTAGATATCTGACCTGTTTTTCACTTCTCGTGGCTAGTGAAAATCTAAATCTGCATTTATTCTTGTCATTCAATCATTGCAAACTTCATCATGTACATTACAAAGCTTGGCCTATAGCATAAATCATTCTAGAAATTTTATATTCTCCTTCAGTACAGTGGAAGGAAGAGGAGGTACTCAGTATATTAGGAAAGATGAATGCTTAACTGTTCTAAATCCAAATCAATCTGCACTGGACTTTCTTATCTCTCAATTTTTAGCTTTATCAAAATCGTCAATGTTTACTCCTTCAAATTCCATGTTGCTTGATGTGAGTAGCTTAATAATGTTCTTTAATCTGGCGTCTCTATATTTCACTGGTATCATCCTTCTTGCAGACTTCAATCTACATATTGTTTGTGTAACCTTGTACTTTTAATTCAAAATTTCAAATTATTGGAATTCACGTACTGAGCATTCAGCTGTGAACTTTATGAAGATTTGTCCAGATCTTTTTGCTGAAACCACTTTATTAGTCTTCGTTTTCTTAGCGTTTTTTTTTTTCATTGGATCAAAACATATGTAACTTTTCAACTCATTAAAAGTTTCCAATTCAATGTGCGAATTGCTTTAGTCCCTAATCCCATCTGAGAAAGAACCAGGACCTATACACTGGAAACTGCTTCAATCAGAAGTTTGAATGGGACTCGAGACGGAGATGATCACGCTAAATCCATTACCCTAGACTCAACCTTGGATTCATCTGCACACTCACTAACTAATTAATGGAAGTTGATTCAAATAAGAAGTGAGAGGAACTAGCTTAGCAGAGATGCTTGGCGGAAGTCTAAGTGATGATGAATAAAGTATATAAAGTTTTTTATATATGTAAAGATGCTGGTAGTATAAGGTCAGTCATGTGAATGGAAATTTAAGTAAGTTAGCAAATATTAGAAACAACTTGTATAACAAAGTTCAGTTAATTGTTCGTAGTCCAGCCTAGTGTTAAGTCACTAGTTCTCATTTAACAGTGTAGACCAAATAGTTTAGCTCAAACCTGTGGATGCCACTTTAGTCTTTCATCATTCACTCAGCATTCATTCATCATTTATTCTTCATTCGCATTCACTCGTTTTTCTTCACTCATTCCTTCATCTATCCACCCATCTATTTATTACTTCATTCGAAGAACGGCCATGTGCATGTAAGCCTACTTTGAACTGATGCCGGAGCCTTCTTTCCCCTGCCCCCTTGCCTGCGCTCAACACAAGATGACTCAAAATACACGATTAGATGTCATCCTTTAATCTCAACAAAACGGCAGGTATTTGCAC